TAATTTGCATATTTTAGTGCTTACTAGTAATGGGCTATATTTATTTAATGGCAATCAGGATGACCATTGGTGGAGTAAAGAGCAACATTTCTCCCCAATATGGGCTTAATTTGCATATTTTAGTGCTTACTAGTAATGGGCTATATTTATTTAACGGAAATTAGGATGACCATTGGTGGAGTAAAGGGCAACATTTCTCCACAATATGGGCTTAATTTGCATATTTTAGTGTTTACTAGTAATGGGCTATATTTATTTAATGGCAATCAGGATGACCATTGGTGGAGTAAAGGGCAACATTTCTCCCCATTACGGGCTTAATTTGCATATTTTAGTGCTTACTAATAATGGGCTATATTTATTTAATGGAAATCAGGATGACCGTTGGTGGAGTAATGGGCAACATTTCTCCATGGACTTAATTTGCGTACTGCCTATAAAGCTTACAAGACAACTGCTTTAGCTCAACCGAAAACTAGAATAACCATTTTTATCTTTATCGTTTTATCGCAGAACTAACTTTTTCTTGGATTTGTTTTGCTGTCTGCCAACCGATATTATCGTGCTTGCTATCTGGCCTGAGCAGTACGGTAAGGATTACTGTAGCTTGTTTGGATTCACTCTCATGAAAATATTGAAGGAATTCTGATTTAACAAAAAAATTCGGTTCGTTCTCTCCAGGAGTGTTGCGTATCCTGGCCTTTGCAAGGCTGAACAGATGCCTCCATATCTACAAAATCGTGAGTAAAAAATAAATTAAAAATAAGAATTATAACAGCTTAGCAGATGTGTTCATTTTTACAAAATCATAATTGAAAATGAATCACAACACAAAATATTTCCATCTAAATACTTGTTAAACTCACTGCCAAGAGATGAGCTTGGCAATTAATTAATTGCTTGACCCCCAATGATCAGACATAACGGGGCAAAAGGTTAGATGTCATGTGTATGTCCCACCCTGCAAATCCTTCCGGGTCCCCCCAACTACTGCTACTTGGGCAGGACCGCTGACCAACATTGTCTCGATTTTAACCTCGCCTAACTTATATTAACCACCCTCATCATACATACCTCATAGGTTCTATATTGTCTTTGCATAAACTGATCATATTTTCCTTATAGGCGCTGTTTTTTGGATTCATGGAAGGTCGTCTTGGAAAATCCGAAAACTTTTACAGGTAAAAAAATCCACAGGAACCCCAAACCAGCAAATTTTTGACCTTCACAGAATAGAGGGTTTACTTTCATATTTAATCGTCCACTCTCGAAATATGCTTCGCTTGTCAAGCACAAAGGTTTTAGTACGAGGCTTCGTGCGAAATTAAATTTATTCTTTTCTCCTTTCACGAATCACTGAGCATTATGCACAAAGACTTGCATTGAAACCTTTGAGCGTGACAAGCTAAGCATATTTCGGAAGTGGATTATTAAATATGAAAGGAAAACCTCCATTCTGTGAAGATCAAAAATTAAGATTATCAACAAGAAGTCATGTTGCGTGAYACACTACGTCACGCATTCTGTCTGATATTTGTGTTTGACCAATAATTTTAGAAAATTCAAGTTTGCGGTGTACATGGGTCTGTTTACGCACTACGTGGCCTGTGGGTGGCTTGTTATCTCATGTGTTGGTCAGGATGATGGCACACATGAGTGTAAGAGCGACTCTTGGGTCAAGAATGTAATTCATGAAATAGGTAAGATATTTCAAACTATTGCTGTTTCAGCTTGTATTGTCAGTCATGTGACCGACCACGTGATACATCACATGATCCACATCTGACATCACGATAGCCACTTGATAAATTCGATAGACCACGTGACAGACCAACTCACAATCACGTGATAGACTACTTAATGATCACATGACACGTCACGTGATAGAACGTCATGTCCTAATGACAATCCATCAAACTTTTCTTGTTGACCCTCCTTGTGTAGGCTGAAAAAGGATTATTAAATGAAACTAGCTTACAGGAAAGTCTTATTCTTAGCATTTTTTTACCAGGGCACGACGCTGCTTATCATCGTTACATGACGACTTTCTACTGGGCAGCGGCGACAACCGCTTCTGTTGGTTATGGTGACGTGCACGCTTACCTTACTGGCGAGGTAAATATGCTTTTTAAAGTGTTATCATATGATATGGTAATAATCATGATGATAATAATAATGATGATGAGAGTAATGATTATGATGATAGTATTGATGATGATGATGGGTGAAAATGATGTTGTTCATGGTGAAGATAGTTTGATGATGATGGTCTTGGTGATGATGATGGTCTTGGTGATGGGCATGGGGATGGTGATGGTGATGGTGATGTTGATGGGGGTGATTAGTGATGATGATGGTGGTCTTGGTAATGATGATGATGATGGTCTTGGTGATGGGGATGGTGATGGGGATGGGGATGATGATGGTGATGGCGATGGTGGTGATTAGTGATGATGATGATGGTCTTGGTGATGGGGATGATGGTCTTGGTGATGGGGATGGTGATGGTGATGGGGATGATGATAGTGATGGCGATGGTGGTGATTAGTGATGATGATGATGGTCTTGGTGATGGGGATGATGATGGTCTTGGTGATGATGATGATGCTGATGGTGATAGTGATGACAAACGTTGATGATGGTGATGCTACTATCGATGATGTTACTATTACTATATCGATGATGTTATTGACGATGATGAGTGATGATGATGATGTTCTTAATAATAATAATAATAGTAATGACAATGGCGATGATAGTTTTACTTTTGTTAATTAACTGCTATTTGTCATTGTTCCAGATGACATACTCTTTGTTCTGCATGGTGATTGGCATCGTGTTCTACGGTTACATCATCGCTGCCGTCGCCGCTAGTTTGGCCAACGCAGACGCGCAAAGAGCTCGCTACCAAGAACGTCTCGGTGCCATCAAAAACTTCCTTGAGGTAAACTGCTTATCTTTAACAACATTTTGTCGAGATCTTCGTCATTTCCCATCACTTACCACCAATAGTCCCCTTCACAGTTCCCTGCGCCATCTTGAAAGGTAGCCGTGCCTTTGCATCTAAGCGAGACGAACGGTGAGCTTGCAATGATAGAAACGTTTTTTTAACACCTTGGACAATTATTCACAGGTCTCTATCATTGCAAGCTCGCCGTTCGTCTCGCTTCGATGCAAAGGCATGGCTACCTTTCAAGATGGCACAGGGAACTGTGAAGGGGACTAATACCATCAGTCACCATCATTTGCCATCATTTCCTATCAATCACCATCATTTGTCATCAATGGTCATTCTTACCAGACAAATCCTTAATTCCCAGAGTTTTTTAACTAAGACCTTTGAAACTTTGATTATAAGTTGCTATACAAGGACAACGGAGCATCCTCAAAAGTAGGTCAAGGGGGGGGGGGGGGGTTAATTGGACTCGAAAACGACTTGGTTAACACCACAAAATGTAATGGACGGTAGCAAAACGTGAAGGACCTGAACCTTCCCCCCTCCCCTCCCCCCTCCTTCGCTATAGTTCCTGTTCAACAGAAGAAAACATTTAAAAAAAATCATTTTAAAAGTAAATACCAGAAAGCTAATCACTATTCTTCGACCTTAAAAATAGACCCGTATGAATTCATGTCTATAAAACATTTTATTGCAGGACCAGAATATCGCAGAACACCTACGAAACCGTGTTATCAGGTAAAGAATATGCACGATCGATTATCGACCAATTACGTCGGCGGATTCGATTGTTTTTCCAAACGATAGTTGCAATACAAATTTTAACTTCAATGTTTCCACTCACTCTTCGGTATTCCGAGTACCTATCGATTTGCGTACGACTGATTATCGATTAATCGATTGTTTTCCCAACAATAATTGCAATACAAATTTTAACTTCAATGTTTCCACTCACTCTTCGGTATTCCGAGTACCTATCGATTTGCGTCGTACGACTGATTATCGATTAATCGATTGTTTTCCCAACAATAATTGCAATGCAAAGTTTAACTTCAATGTTTGTATAATTTTGCGCATGCGTTTTTCACTCACTCTCCGTTATTCCGAGTAGCTATTGATTTGCGTACTATTAATTATCGATTAACCAGTGTTATGTTTTTTATTTCAGTCATTACGAGTATATTTGGATTCGTAATCGAGGTGTTGACCCAAGCTCTCTCTTCCAAGGGATACCGCTGGCCTTACAAGCCGACATAACACTTAGTGTGTACAAGGATATGATAGAGAAGGTTTGTCACTTGTTAGATCCAGCTGATCTGAGAGAAAATGATAGCCAATCAGAATCGTGAAATTTTTCAAAACGGAGGTGTCTCTTATTCTGATTTCCAGGCCACCAAATAAATAAATAAATAAATAAATATATATACATAACGAAAAAAATAATTTCAGATCAGTTGGATACTGTTGTATGAAAATGTTTGATGTCTGCGCTGAAGAAATTTCTCTCCTCTGAACCAGATACTCCTTTTGTAGTTACGCGTGTGCTCGCAGAGATCCTTCTGCGTGTCCCCACAAACCTCTTATATTATTTGTTAGCTTTGTTCCATTGTATAACTTGGGTTCTTTTGTTGTTTCTGTTGAAATATGTGTCCGGTATACGAAGAAGGAGCCGCAAAAAAGCACTCAACCATCGCTTAGCGGACACCCGATATCGCTGACAGAAGCAACATCGCCGGCGACAAAGAAATGACCATAATTAATTCGCGTTATCGTGATAATTGTTCAGTTTTTTCTTCTTCGTAGGTACCTTTGTTCCAAGGGACGGAAATCGGTTTCTTGAAGATGTTATCGATGTACATAAAGCCTGTGTATTTCTTGGCCAAAGAATATGTAGTGAGGAAAGGCGACATTGGACAAGAGGTTAGTAAACATATGGACATCACTTGATCAGCCAGCATATTCATCACGTGATTTTAGCATTCCAAGATTACGCGACATTATGATCACGTGAACATTGTTTGTACCCACGTGATGTCTCTGTCCTATATACTCACGTGAACATGAAATGTACCCACGTGATGTCTCTGTCTTACATGATCACGTGAACATGAAATGTACCCA